ATAACTGAAGGATCCAATCTTCACCAAATCTTCAATATAAGTTTTGCTGTTACAAGAATAAATAACAGAATCAAATCATAACAGAAATAAATCTTTCAATATTGTAAATAAAATCCAAGATGACACTCAAATCCGTAAACATGCATTAGGCAAATCCTTTACAAAACCGGAAAGCTTCAATTACAGTAGACACAACAAAATCAATTGTTACGGCAAAATCGCATATCACAGAAATTTGGTTACAATCTAAGCTTATAACAAATCGAATCTCAGAAAAAAAAGGAATCAATTACATTAATTGCTAAATCCCTAATTGATCTAAATAAGCCCAAAATCTAAGTAATTGAACTAATACAGTAAAAACCCTAGATCTAAATGAACCTATAAGTACAGAAAGAGAAGAATAGAGAAGGGGGTCGAAGAAATTGAGATCGAAGAACATACATTGCAATTCGTGGAAGAGAAGGAAAAAACGAATTAGGGTTTCAAGATCTGAAACCCTAATCGTATCCCCTCCGTTGATCCTTCAAACATCCTTGGAACTTCCATCGCCACTGTCTCTGTACAATACCGGGACCTGCGAATCAGAGGAACAAGGAGAAATTAGCTTCAGATCAGACACACGCTTGAAGTCAGAATACAACACAAAAGAGGTAAATAAAAAACTTAGATTTCTTTGCGTTTTGATTTTTATTGGGAGTATCGGTTTGGGTTTACAATAGGAAAGGAGTTTTGTTCTGGCGCCACCATGGTTTGGTCTTAGGGTTTGGGTAAAGGCTGGAACGGAGAGGGAGAGGGAACGATGAAAGGGATGGTGAGCGAAAATGAGATAAAAAGAAATGTGAAAGAAACAAAAACTTGTATTCTGTAGCGATTCAATACACACGCGTTCACTATAAGGTATATGCACTCTCCATTAGGACCATCAGATTATCATCAGACGGCCATAGGCCAAGTCACCACCGTAACTGCCATACCCCTCGCTTGCACACAATCAGCCCAACCCTTCCCAAGCCCGTAGTGAGCCTGAGCCCAATGCTACACACACCTCCTTTTAACACAATTACTGAACAAAGGTTAGCAGCGCACCCCCCCTTGTCCATACTTGTTTTGGGCTTAGCCAGTTAACTTTTCACACCCCATGCTTTTGCTATTGAACTAAAACTGCACCCCCCCTTTAGAAAATCATATTATTTTCTCTATTTTTCTTTTGTTTCTTTTTATATTCTCTTTTATATTATTTATTTATTGTTATTATAATTATTGTTATAATATTTTTTATATTATTTATTTAATTTTTTATTTAATTTTATATTATTATTATTATTATTTATCATCACATATAAATTATTTTATTTAAAACTCATGAATATATTTTTGATATTGCAATTAATACAGTAAAAAAACACAAACAAATATCAAACTATTTTCGCGAACAAATTAAGCTAATTAACAATTCCTTTTTGCAATGGGTTTCGAACTAATTTTGGCTTACTGCGTACTCAGTCAAAATTTCTGCAATCATTACTCCCGACCGAGTGCAAAGTGATTCAAAATATGTTCGTAAACCTCTAAAAGACACCAACCCATACGAACTACGAATTGGGACTCTGATTCCTCTTAGGAGGATATGTAGGCACGCGATCTAAAATCGTGGCGAGTCTTACTAATTAAAACTTAAAACCCTATTTACCCTAAACCTAGAGCTTAATATCCTTGTGAACAAGGTGGATGAAAGGTGCCTAACACCTTCCTTTCGTCTAATTGAGTCCGTAACCTAGAATCTCTGTCTGCGCATTAGGGTTTTCTGTTAGGTTCCCTTCCTTAGGATAAAAACTAATAGTGGCGACTCTTGATAAAAACCGGTCGCAACAGATACAAGATTAATAGACTCATGTTCACGTAAAATAACAAGATCATTACTAGTAGCAGTAGTAACATGATCATCATGATCATCATGATCTCTTTGTTTAGACTTACCTTTCTTGCCTTTGTTATCCCTTTTCCACTGATAACAATACTTCTGTATGTGTCCTGTTTTGTGACAATAATTACACTCCAGATTCTTGTATCGTGGCTTGGAATTACTTCTGCTATTCTCTCTACCACCTTTTTGGTTCATTTTTATGACTTCTTCCCATATTTTTAGTGACAAGTACCTCATATTTAGATAAAGAACCCTCTGCATTCCTTCTCATCTCCTCATTAAGAATACCACCCTTAGCCATTTCTAAAGAAACAACACCTTTAGGAGCAAAATTTGTAATAGAAACTCAAAACGTCTCCCAAGACTCTAGTAAAGATAGGAATAAAAATAATCCTAAAAGTTCATCATCAAATTTAATACCCATTCCTGACATATGATCAAGGAGCCCTTGAAATTCACTCAAGAGATCTGAAATAGAAGTCCCCTCCTTATACTTAAAACTTATGAAGCTATTCAACAAGAACAATTTATTATTTCCTGATTTAGAGGCATACAAGAGCTCTATCTTCTCCCACAAAGTTTTTGCACGTGTCTTATTAGCAATATGATTATAAACATTATCTTTTACATATTGTCGAATAAAACCACATACCTGTTGATGTTCAAACTCCCATTCTTTATCAGACACAAAATCCGACTTTGCGAAACTAAAAACCAGTAAATGAAATTTCTTCACAAATAGTAAGCATTTCATCTTGCCCTTCCATAAATGATAATTAGAACCATTCATTCGAACAAGTAAAACATTAACCAAGAGCTCTGATGCCACTCTGATGAGAAAATTAAGACACAATAGTAGACTAATACGTAACAAATATAATATTTACCAAACTTCTGGGAACCTTGAGGATCAACAACAAATATAAGACGATAACCGAACAATAAAGGCACAAAAGAACACCAGTATTTTTAACATGGAAAACCCTCAATATGAGAGTATAAACCACGAGTCATCCAGACCAAAGAAAAAGCTTCACTATAATCAATTGAGGATACAATAAAGTCTTAAAGTGATTCATAAAATAGTGATAACAACTGCAAATCACAAAGCAAACTAACTTACAAATAAGAATTAAAAAGCTGAAAATTTTCTCAAATCTACAGCTTCAGTGCAGGGCTGATATCTCTTAACTCAGACATTGTTTTGAAGATTCCAACGGTCAAAATTTAGATATATGTGTTGCGAATTTGACCTCCAAATTCCAGCTCGACCCGATGATGAACGAATCGGGGATCGTCGTTTTAGTGAGAATGATGCAGAAAAAACGAAAATGAGTTTCTCTCATCTTTTCTCTCTTTTTGAATCCTTATTTTCTCTCTATTTCTCTTAACCTTAAATTGACATTCTCCATTTAAATAAGTGAGACAAATAAACTATTTATATTTGGATCTTTCTCCACATATAAAAGGAGCCCAAACCCAACCGTTTTTATCATGAATTCCATTATGTTTATGTTGTTTTATTAAGTATGTATGAATAGTTTTTTAGTAGAGTCTGAGACGAGGACCGTCATACTGACAGACCTCATGCGAGTCGCTTGAATAATAATTATAACTAGAATGATGTAAATGATTTGCAATTTTTATGCTTTCAAAGATAAATAAGCTTGCTATAAAATTAGAGGTATATAGATATTGTTTACGCGCAGAAAAGTGGAAACTGTATCAGCCATATAATTTAAAATAATAGGTTCTGATATACGCGAAAGCGGATCAAAGTTGATCGAGTGAATATCTTTGCTTTTTAGCTTTCTATGAAATTAGAGGTATAGAGATATTGTTTACGCGTCTAAAAGTGAAAACTGTATATGACATATAATTTAAAATGATAGGTTCTAATACCCGCGAAAGCGGATCAAAGTTGATCGAGTGAATATCTTTGTTATTTAGTATATTTTTAAACATAATTTTCATATTACAAAAACAAATGGATTTTCAAGTTTTAAGATCCATGATGCCTCGACGAAACTGGGCGTCACCACTAGTTTTGATATTTCCTATTAAATTCATATTTTTCCGTTATGATTAACATGACGATTTACATGAGTAAAGTTCATAGAAGATAATAACGATGTCAGACTCTTGCATTAAATATTAGAAAATTAAACTATTTTTTTTTCACAAAACAATATTTCCTCTACGTCCATACGATATCTTTTTATACTACACCATATAATTGTATATTTGCAGCCTATTAATGTATATGACATGAGTTATACTTATACAGTGATGAGTGATTACATTTAAAATTGTTCCTTGTGATTCAACTTGAACTATAGAGAACCGTATAAACGGCAAAATAAGATAAGAAGTCATGTTGAACCGCATGGTTGAACATGTTTCATTGGTGCTTTATCCCACTCAAAACAATTTTTATTAATATGTGTATATATATATAGTCATCTTAATTATACTGTAGATAAATTTACTATTCTAACAAATTTTCAACATTTATAATTTTTACTGTATTAAATATTCTTATAAGGACAAAACTTAGACCCAGTTCACCGTACTTGCTATTGCAACTGTTTTTCAACAAAATCATGACAAGTAGATTACTTAACTCACGTCAAACCAATTACTCAACGAATCTGTCCTTAAATCACCTTTGCTCCCGTTAAATCTCTCTTTCAACGGTTACAACAGTATATTAAAAAGCTGCAATCAGTTTATTCGTAGCATTTGTTCCACTTTTTTTTAGAATTATTTTGTTGGTTATGTATTCCACCTGTCATAATTTCATTGGACAACCGTTGCAACAACACCTAATCAACCATTTAAAAAAAATTACATTCACCGTTAAACAGCACGAATAAGAGAGAAATTCATAAAAAAATGCGTGCAGATCTGGGAAAGCAAAAGCAAGCAAGCTTTGGGTGATGCTAAACTAATCTCACTTTTTATCTCTAATCACATAAAAAACCCTAATTAATGATTAATTAATCACCTTTTGATTATCATTAACTACTAGGGTTTGTATATATGAAAGCGAATCAACAATCTATGAACAACAATGATGAAGGGAATGGAGTCTGAACTGAAAGACTTGAATTCCAAAGCCGCGAAATCAAATGCAATCAAAACCGTTCGCGACGATCGTCCTCTTCTCAAATCGGATTCAGTATCCTCCACCACCACCGCAACCACTGCGGCGGAGCTAGAAGAACTTGAGAAGAAATTCGCGGCGTATGTTCGCCGCGATGTTTATGGAACATTGGGGAGAGGAGAGTTAGCAGCTAAGGAGAAACTGTTGCTTGGTTTCGCACTTGTTACGCTTCTTCCGATTAGAGTGATTCTTGCTGCGATTGTTTTGGTGGTTTATTACGTGATTTGTAGGGTTTGTACATTGTTTTTGAGTCCGAATCGGGAAGATGAACAAGAGGATTATGCTCATATGGGAGGGTGGAGAAGGATTGTTATTGTTCGGTGTGGGAAAGCTCTTTCTAGAGTTATGCTTTTCGTTTTTGGATTTTATTGGATTTCTGAATCTACTACCTCTATCAATCAGGTTTCCTTTCCACTTTACTTTTTGTGCGTACACTCCAGTTTATCAAGAACTGCTTAGTATAAGTATGTTTATTGTTTTCGACTTGATTATTATGATAAGGGTTTAAAAAAACTGTCGCGCCGCGTTAAGGCTTTTGTGATACCTGTCGGTACAGGTGTCGCGACACTGATTGCGGTCGGCGCGGTGCGAATTAACCTCAATTTGTTCTTTAACATAGATAACAGTTTCGGCATAGCTCTTTCCAATACCGTTTTTGTCACAACCGTTTTTGCGGTCACAGACCGTTTTAAAAGCTCTTTATGATTTTATGATAGATTTTTATCATCTATGAAGCAAGGACATAGACACACACCGGACACGACACTGACGCGTCGACACCAATAATAATATGAAAAAACAAATAAATTGAATGTTCTCAAAAGTGTCTGTATTGTGTCAGTGTCGGTGTCTAACTCGGACACGAACACGCCTTTTTTTAGAGGTGTTGTGCTAGATAGTTTATCATTATGAAGAAGTAAACTTGGAGGATAAAAATGAGAAGCAAAATGGTTCGAAGTTGAGGTTGGGGCTGCATTGTGGTTTATTCGTGAACCTTGATATCGTGACAAAATATGGACGAATATGCTGCAATTGCAGTAGTGATATTGCAGCTGCAATTGTAGTTGTGATACAGATGTAGAGCCCTCTAAAGGCTTTATATTGCAGCTGCATTTGTAGTTACAACAATTTAGAACTATGTGTAGAAGTTAATTTTAACATATGACACTAATGATGGTTATTATTCAATAAATGTTTAAAGTTAAGCTTATCAGAACTGGCTCTTTCTAATTCATTTATTTGCTCATTTTGTCTCTATCTACTTTGTCATTGCTCAAAGGTCTATTGTATTGGATGTATCTTAGTGGTTACATCCGGCCAGCTTGTATATCATTATCATTATACTTTTGCAGTTTTGTTCTTCTTTTGCATTTGTTTAATTTGTTCTGTCTGCTTCATTTTAACTAGGAAGTCAAACCTCAGCCTGAAAAGACGAAAAGGCCTGGTGTAATAATATCAAATCATGTGTCTTACTTGGATATTTTGTATCATATGTCTTCCTCTTTCCCAAGTTTTGTTGCTAAGGTTTGTCATATGACTTTTTTTATCTTCTAAAATGGTGCATGTATATTTGTATTTTGTATATATGTATGTTGCTGACATTTTTCATCCCAAATGTTCTGTTAAAATCTTGGATTTAATCAATGAAGAGATCAGTGGCCAAGCTTCCTCTTGTTGGTCTCATCAGGTTTGTTGTCTTTCTTTTATCAGTTCCTCCTGGTTTAATTCTGTGGCTTTTGTTGGTCATTGCAAACTTAAATCTTATTTCTTCATTTTAATTCTGTAGTTCTTGAGGCTTTCTGCTCTTTATTTTTTCTCAAGTCTCATTTCAAAAGTTAACTTTTACATGAATAGTGATCAATGTAGTTAGCGAGAATGCTTCATTTCACATGATTCAATGTGCATTATCGTTTCACTATAAGATATTTTTTAGAACCTAGTGCTTATATAGTGACACATTTTTGTGACAGCAAGTGCCTTGGTTGCATCTATGTTCAGCGGGAATCAAAGTCATCCGACTTCAAGGGTGTTTCAGGTGCATACTACATAGATGATTGTATATGTGCCTCTGTAATAATCATGTGTACAAAATCTAAATGAACTAAAAAATGTAAATAGTCCCTTGTTTCCATCATTTTCTTCCTTGTGTTGTTGTTTTCATATTTTCAATTGTATACTAATTGCATGAGGTATTCTGCATCTTTAATTTATAATTTTTTGGTATAGGTGTTACCTCTTGTTTGTTATATTGTGAGTTATATACATTGAACCTGGTAATGCAAAATTATATATTCTATTTGTAAAGAGTGCCCAATCGTTGATGTTAATTAAGTTACTTGACTTACCGTAAATATTTCATCAAGTCTGTTTGGTAGCATCATGTGGTTAGTTGGATTCTTAAATTTTCCGCTTTGGAAATAGATAAAGTAAATAATTTTCATATTTCTAATTTAATTAATTTTGTGGCAGTATTTTAATTTCCTTTTTGGCTTCTAGTTATACTCATGCGTTTGTGACCTATTAGAGGTGCCCTAGTGGTTTTCCCTTTTGACATATTAATGTGTTTGTTGCAACTGGCGGCTAAACCGTGAACTTTCTTCTTGCAGCTGTTGTCACCGAAAGAATTCGAGAAGCACATCAGAATGAATCTGCTCCATTAATGATGTTATTTCCAGGTTATCATCCTTCCTATAAGGGAAACATGAATTCATTGTATAAACACGCTGGCATATAAGATTGGTGATGCAAATTTTATACTTCCAATTTCTTGTATTATTTCAAACTAATTTGATGGCTAGAGTTGCTGCATTGCTTTACTTATTTTCTCCTATTTATTAAGCATATACTGCATCCTTGTTCTCATCTGCAGTATTTGTTTTTGTTGAAGTTTTTGACCCAATGTATTTGTTTTAAAAATCTTATTTCAACATAATCATTCATTTGTTAGATCCATTTCCCTTTAACTTCGTCTCTCATATTTTTTTATCTTCAAATATAACTCAATGCCTTAAGGTTCTTCACATTTATTTACCCATTCTGTTTCTAGTATGTGAATTATTATTTGTCACATATGGTATCACTTCATATTATAGAAATTAGGCAATATTTTTCTATTCGTTCTGTAAATTATCGAAAGTTACCCCTGAATATCCAAATTATTTATGTTTCTCAAATCAATGTTTTCTTTATAATAATTCATTTCATGCAATTCGGTATTCTACAGAAGGTACAACAACAAATGGAGATTTCCTCCTTCCATTCAAGACTGGGGGTTTTTTGGCAAAGGCACCGATACTTCCTGTAATTCTAAAATACCATTACCAAAGATTTAGCCCTGCCTGGGATTCAATATCTGGGGTAAGTATTTTTATAGTAATTAAGTTTCATGGTTTTCGACAATTTCTGATTATAAAACCTAATCCTGTACTCAACTTCGAAGTTGCTCTGTTCTCATAAATATAATAATGTCGACAAAATTTGTGGTAAATATATCAATGTGCATCCTGTACTTTCATCAGTGTTTATAATATGGTTGGTGACTTGGTGTAAACAAATTCATAATTTTGCTCTTCCGTGTTGATGATATTCTACTAGCTGCAATGATGATGTTTTGTTGCATAATGTAAAGATTCCCTCTAGTAACTTCGATATAGTAACTTTGAAATATAAGATATGGGGGAGAGGTATCCTTTGTGATAGGGAGTTCCGGTAAGATTGCTAGTAAACCCGTAGGATCACACAATCCTGCGGTTCAAGCACCTCTGTTCTTGCTGCGATGCACATAGGATCAGATGGCTAAAGATTGCAGCATATTCTCAATAATCACTATCAACTCGTGGGACCACGAGTTCGGCACATGTGTTTTTTTTTTCTGAACTGGGCCCGGTTTTTGGCAGAAAATTCTACTCCATCGCCGACTACCGTTGTAATGCAATGCCCCCTTTTTGCCAAAGATTGCGATGCAGCCACCTTATTCCATTTCTTTATCTATTTCTTGTCTGCTGTCACCTGTGACTCCCTCACTCCCTTCTCCGTTTCTGATGATACGCTTTCCCGAAAAGGAAAGGAAATGAAAGTGTATCTTTTCATTTCCTTCTCTGCTCAAGAGCCGTTTCGTTTCCTTCATATGTTTAAAGTCCCATTTAATTAAGGTACTAATGTGCATCTCCCTTTTTAAGTTTTGACCAAACAAATCCAATCTCCAGGCTACTTTTGACGTTTCAACAGGGAATTCACTTACGTTCTTTGTTCTCCCACTAAAACCACCATCATCAATGCTTAAGCCAGCACGTCTTTGCAGATCCGGCACGCCGCCATATCTTCTGCCATTGACGCGTTGTCCCTCTTTTTTTGTGCTGTGACCAACAACACCTCATTATCTCCTGTTGATTTCAACCATCTTTCTTTGTATCTTCGCTATTTGCTTGTGATGCAAATCAATTTTGAATCATTGATTTTATCCCTTCTAGTCTTATTTCAAAACACCTTGGGTATGTGTTTGAGTTGTGAGGCATATTTATTTCTGTATTTTACAACCTCTTTTATAACAACCCTTACTGGTATGATTATGAATTCATTTCATAAATTCGGGTTTTGTGTTTTTTTAGACTTCATATGTTTAGAGTGCCTTTTCTTTGTTAGTGATACTCCTTTAATGCCTTTTCGTTTCCTTCTCTGCCATATATCAGTTTTGGCCATTGGAATGTTGAGTCGGTGTGAAAGTAATCCTATTAAGAAAGATCTTGAGTTTAATGAGTTGGATAGAAACATAGTTTTTGATAGAACATAATGACAAAGTTTGATCCATGTAACTAATCTTACTTAGTGGTATAAGACTTGGTTGTTGTTATTGTTGTTGTTGCTGTTATTGTTGTTGTTGCATAACACAATTGGCAAAAAGGTACTTAGGTGCTCACAATACCCCAAAATTTACATGTTCACATGTAGAAGGTCATATAATCATATCATCTTGGAGTGGTTGGCTACTTTGATAAGTAGACTCAAGAATTCCACTTTTGGTATATGTTTGTTCTGTCTGGTAGACTCAAGATTACGCTTTATGATTGCAAAACTTTACCTTAATCTTGGTTATTGAGATGATTCGGCAACTATCTTCTTCTCTAAGAATGACAGATATTAAAAGTGTGTAATACACATATATGTGAAGTACTTGTGAGTTAAAGAAGTGCAGAAAGAAAGTGTCAGTTGAGCATATTGATACAAATTTAATGATAATGGATCTATTAACCAAAGGATTGCCACCTAAAACATTTGTTGGCCATGTTGAAGAGATGGCCATTTATAGATAAGTCCTTGTTAACTTTTTACAGTGATACAATACAGGTATATATATTTAAAATTTCAAAGTTCGTATTGTATGATGCTTACGAGTTCGATTATAGTTGTGTTTTTATTTCTTGTTACCTAACCTGCATTATATGGTATACCATAATGTTTTGGCTATTTGGCCAGATGACACTGATGTGTCTTTGATAAATTGATGAACCCTAGGAAAGCTACAACTTATGATTTTATGTTTACATCTTTCTGCTTATTTAATTGGAGAAATTGCCAACTTATGATTTTATGATTTCACGTTGATATTAATGTTGGCAGGTGCGCCATGTGATATTTCTCCTTTGTCAGTTTGTAAATAATATGGAGGCGATACAATTACCCATTTACTATCCCTCACAACAAGAAATGGATAATCCCAAATTGTATGCTGATAATGTTAGAAGGTTGATGGCTACTGAGGTATTTATTCTGTTTACTCAGGGAAAATAAATCCCATATTTCTTCAGAGGTTTTTTTTTCTTTCATGAACCTTTTCACTAGAAATAATTACATAGTTTGGAAGGATATGGGAATAGTGTATTCTACTGTTGGAGTTGATTGTATCGTTACACGCACGTGTATAAATTAACATACTATAAGATGGCACCTAAATAGTTCTTCACAGAGAATTGTTTTGATAAATCTGGCCATTATTGAACCATGCATTTTTTTGAAACTTTTCAAGAGAATGTTATTAGGACCTAATGTGTTAGGGGTCTCATGTTAACTCAGTAGGGTTATAGTCTTGCTTGTCAGCAGGGTTGGTACCAGTTGTACTAGTACTAAACTTGGATTGCCAGAATAGGCGTTAATGGTTTGCACCTAATGCACAATTTTCTCAAACTTTTTTGTTTCACTGGAAAGTTATCATAGACACAATAATAGTCTTTATTTCAGAGTCATACTTGTATATATAACCAAATACTATTAGCCTAAGTTAGTTACCTCCATGTTATGTATGAGTTATTTTGTAGGGGTTATGTCTCTAGGAAAGTAGCATTGATCTTAATGGTTGAAGGTTATAGTGTGACTGCTGCTGATACTTGTTATTTATTGTATGTTCTGCATGCTGCCGCTGATACCTTCTTGTTATCTATTGTATGTTCTGCTTGCAGGGTAATTTGACCCTTTCTGATATTGGGCTAGCTGAAAAACGAATTTATCACGCTGCTCTCAATGGTAATAATAGCCTGCCTAGTGTTTTGCATCAGAAAGACGATTGATAATTTCATGAACCCGGCCTCAATTGATATGTAGTTCCATTCGAGTTTTGATTTCAAACTTAGATTTTGCTTTTTACATGAATGGACAGCTTGTGTGAGGGGTGCAATAATCACTTAAACTACTGAATAGTACTTGTGTAATTTTCTTGTAAATACTGTAACCAATAATGTATTTTAATTGTTGGTGAATGAGAGACGCAATTCAAGAGTCAAGTTTGATTGTGATAAATGACCTAACTCATTTGAGAAAAGCCATGTAACCTTAGAAACTGAATCTTCTGTTTCGTGTTCCTGCAGGTTTGTTTTCCCAAGGATAGTTCTTCGGATATTCGCTTGTATATTCGTTGTATGGCTCTGTTGTTAATCAGGAAAAGAAAAAAGAAACTAATATAGAAAATTCTGTGAAGAACAATGTATGTATCCCCTAACTGTAGCTGGAATGAGTGGTATTTCTGAGCAGAGGCTCCATGTATCTCCATATAATGATAGGATACTCTCTAATATAGGTGTTCTAACTTCTAAACGAGAAAATGAAATATGCAATGCCACTGTAAATAATGAGTGACGCTTACTGCCAAATCACACTTTATTTTTAAAGTACCAATATGGTATCACAAGAATTTTGATTGGTTGAATGTAATATTGTTTTACAATGTCTTTGAATTAAACTCCTAAAATAACTTGCAAATCCTTGTTAATTAATATTTTAATGTTTTACATTATTTGAAATAACCTAATGGTGTATTTATCTTTCTGGTGACGAGGTTCCTCAAACCCGTGACAAACAACCATCGTTTATGAATAGATATTCAATTTAGTTCTTTTAGGCTATGTTTGGGAGTTTGAAGTGAAAGAGAGGGGAGGATTTTGAAAAATAGAAAAGATTGGGTGAAAAAAATAAAAAGATTTTGTTTGAGAGGGTTTGTATCTCTTCATAACATCAAAAACGCTCTAATTTGGGGGAATTTAAAAATTGTATTGGAAGAGGATTTTAAAGAATTTTGGAGAATTTAATCATTTTATTCAAATATAATTTTTGTTGTTAAATATTTCAAAAACTAAAAACATATTAATGATAAACATTATTTTTTCATTTTAAACAATTTTTATTTTTAATTTTCAAAATTTCTTTATATTTTTTTAAAAAATTATTTTTGGAATTCCTCCTTTTCCATCCTCTCCAAACTCCTAAACATAGTCTTAAGGATCACTCTTTTTTTAATAATCCCTTAAAATAGTTTTTTTTAAGTAACTGAATTTATGCCAAATGGGTTCCTGTTTTGTATATTCACTACACTACCATGAATTTTCTTATACTTACTACTTACAGATTATATACGAACGGATAATAATAATCATCTTAAAACTCATAATCATTTTAAACTTATACACAATTGAGAGATTCCAATTCAAACGCGGATGACGATGTTCAACTTAATGATGTCAGTATTTGTGTATTAAGTTATAGGAGTAATTTGTAGACATTTAATATGATTTTTTTTTTGTGGATTATTTATCTCACACTAAGTGGAAGAAAAGTGATTTTTTTTTTAAAATAACTAAAATTTGAAATTTTAATATTAAATTAACCAATCTTTCACAATAATTTTCAATCTAACAATGTTTCCAAAAAAAAGTAAATTAAAGAGGAGACCCACTTGAATTGGCGCTCCTATATTTTTTTCAAATTTTTTCAGTTACCTGCAGATTTTTCTATGGAATTATCTACGAGAAGTAGTCTGCAGGTAAATCTGCAAGTAAATTCGTAGGAAACGTAAAATCTACAAGAAAATAGAAAAAATTGAAAAAAAAATTAAGAGATGGCTAGACGCCATCTCACTTGGCGCCTCCTTAAAAAAAAAACAATGCAAACGCCATATGAAATGACTATTATATTATAACGTTTTCTAAACACATGGTTATTTGTGAAAATTTATTCGAAATATGATTATTTGTGTGTATTTTTTTTAAAACATGGTTATTGCTAAAAAAAATTCAAGAAAAGTATCCTAAAAAAATTTGAAAATAGCTTTTAGATTTTGGAACGGCATTTTCAAATGCATAATTCACACTAAAATACGTTCTAAAGTGAGTCTCATTCTGCGATCGGGAGGAGGTTGAAACCACTTGATGCCAGAATTGACTTCCGAACCAGATTATATCAGTGGTGAAAACTGGAAAAAAAAAGAGTGAGTCTCATTCTATATGTTTCTCAAAATTTAGTCTGATTAGCATTTTTTGATCCACTCATATCAAGGGAGGATTCAGATAATATATATTGGTGTGACTAAACATAAAATAAAGTATGAATTAAAATATATTAAAAATAAGAAATAATATTGTTTAAAGCAATACATTTATAATGAAAATTTTCCATCAAATATGAAGGATTAGCAAATATGAAAGTGAGAGATAAACTTGAGAGGGGGTCAGAGTGTTTCAAACACCAGTTCGAACTAGTCGAGCGATCGAGAATCAGAGTAGTCACCAGTCTGATTGATTGTTAGATCGGATAAACTACTAACCAGTGAGAATCAACCAAAACTAGTAAAATCGATAAAAACGGATGTATCGACGATTTTAGAAAATCGACGAGTTAAATGCTTGTTTTTTTTCCGACAAAGCAATGTCCTTTTAATAATTTTATTAAAAATTAAAATTAAAATATAAATAGACCTTCTTCAAACTTATTTGAAACAACTTTTCCTCTTTGAAATTAAATTTATTAGACACTGCACTTGTTATGTTACTCTGCTTATGTTATAATTATGTTCAAAATTTATTTGAATTTGAATTTTGTACTATTTTGTTGAGTGTGATGATTATGTTTAAAATTTGAATTTAAAGAATGAACTTGTAAAATTATGACATTTTGAAGTTTTGAAATTTGGCAGGTGTGATTTTTTAGAGACCGAGTGATCTTGTTCGACCGATTTAACTATATAGTTTTGTTATATAAATTAGTTTATTCAACTGCATTATTCAGTTTAATCTGGTTTAGTCATACAATATGGCTAGTGACCCTGTGATTCAACCATTGAATCAATGACCTAATATCCTCATTAATTTGATGATCAGTTCGATATATATATATATATATGCGTGTGTGTGTTTGTGTGTGTGTGTGGCCATAATATGCCTCAACTTGCATTCGCTCATGACTCATACATATTTCATGCATTCCTCACTAAAACTCTTTCATTTTAATATAAATTGATCTGGAGATGCATCTCTGTATTCTCACCAGACATAATTTGGAGATGCATTTTCGAATTCACATTACACACTAAAATTTGACTTTGTTTTAGAAATACACTGATGTAATTGACGATGTATTATAATTATATTATCATATTTAATTTAATATAACTTAAAACCATACACTTATCAAATAATACGAAAGTGACATGTGTAAAAGAATAAATTCATAATACATTATGGAGTTAAAATAAAATATACTTGATAATAATGCTCTTAATACAATACTATATATTACTGCATATGTCGGACCTGTGCACTTTTGTTTCTAAGTTGCCTCCTGTACTGCACTCTTGTTCCAAAGCTTCCAAAAAGACTCTTGTGTCTAACCGACCCGCGCAATATCTGTAACACCAAAAAATATGATTAATTTTGTTTTATCGAATTCTTTATGTTTTTATTTAATTATTAAGCGTATTATGTGTTTTAACTAAATAAAGTGTGATTCTAAATGTCTATGTGGTATATGGTGGGGTGTAGTGAGAGTATTTATGGGTTGGTAGAATTATTAAAATAATTAAAAATAATTAGATTTAATAATTATTTCTTTTTAAATAATAAAATATATAAGAAAATGTAAGTACGAAGTGCGCTTAAGAGGGGGGTGAATTAGGTACTTTAAATTTTTTCTGGTTTTAGTGATGATGGATATTATTTTTATGGTTTATGGTGAGTTTATGAAAGAGTAAAGTGCAGAAAGATAAAGAGACACGAGCGAGATATCCTGGTTCCCCTCACAGTCCGAGAGTACTTCAGTCCCCTTTCAACATGAAAGATATTTTCTTATAGTTGGCTTAAACAAGAACTATCAAAACCAAGAACAATCCTCTTGGATTTTCACTATGTCAACAGTGAGAACAATCCTCTCAAGGTGACCTTACTTGTTTCCAACAATCCTGGAAAACAAGAGTACAAAAGCCACTAATCTTATTTTCAACAATCCTGAAAAATAAGAAAATGTACAACAATATTTTGATTGAGTGAGTTTGTAGAGAAATAATCACTTTGAGTGATTTTATCAATAACTTGATCTTCTCTTCCAATAACAATGCTATACAATGACTCAAGACTTAGATTGCTCAAAATTTTCTGTTATACAAGATATGAAAATATGCAGAAAACTTTTTGAATGAAAGTGAAAAAGGCCTGAGTTGAATATTTGAAAATTCAGAAAAATATTGATTGGAAGAGATTATTTTTTATTTTTAAATTTCAGTATTTATATGTTCATAACACCCATTTTAAACAGCATAAGTTTTTGTAAATTAATCATGAACAATTGCCAAGATTAAATGAAAAGATTCCATGAAGTGTGTTATGAAAAAGTATGTTCAAAACTTCTGTTTTTCAAAAACGTTCAGCAAGTAATCGATTGCATCCTTGATGCAAATCGATTGCACAGGTTCTAACAGCCAGAAAATTCAAATATTTTCAGTGAGAAATCGATTGCACAAACATGCAAATCGTTTGCACAAACATGCAAATCGATTGCACTTTAAAATATAGGCATTTTTAACCAGAGGGCAATCGATTGCACTCTTGTGTAAATCGATTGCATTAAGAAACATAAGCAAAACAGCTGAAAATGTGAGTCATGCAATCGATTGCACCAACATGTAAATCGATTGCACAGAAGTAAAAATGGACTTTTTTGCTTAGAAAAATTGAGAAAAAGTTTGGACAAGTTTTAAACACTTCTTTTGATCATTGAGCATCTAAGACTTAAGTTCATAGCAAGATTTGCTATTATACCTTATGAAATTTGCCAAGAGCTTGAATCAAAGACTTTTATCAATTGATGCTTTAGCTTGATCAATATCATTTCCTTCTTGCCATTATGGGTTGTCTTCATCAAAATAAAGTTAATTGAGAAGCTTGATATTACATTCTCTCCCTTTTTGATTATGACAAAAAATCTTTCTTGAAACTTTGTTATTTCCGGAAAGAGACTTCTCCCCCTAAGATGTATAACTCCCCCTTTGTATGAGAAGCTTTGTAATCATTTGGATTTGCTCATCTTGAAGGATTCTTTGTACCTTAAAAGTTTAAGACAAAGAAA